TCACACCTGCTTACTCCTTAAAAGTATCTGGGGTAGAATCTGAAAAGGGGAAATTCTTCAAAATATAGTAAATTTGAAGACATCTCTTGAAATTGCATCCAATGACAGTGACATAATTTTGAAAGGCATAAACCATTCAAGGGCCAAAAAGTATGTAGAAGAGAAAGCAACAACAAATGCGACGAGAACTTTCTGGAAGTTTGAGCAGTAACTGCCTTGGCAGAGCAGGGGAGGCTGGGTTCAAAGTGCCCACAGAGGCACTAGAAGAAGGCAAAGGACACGCTCCTCAAAACCCTGCAGTCTCCAGGGCTCCGCACCAGACTCCTTTGCCAGAGGGGCGGAGGCTGTGGCTAAGAGCAGAAGGGCTGGTAAACGGTTTATGCTACGAGTACCTGGGTTTTCAGATCCCTCCGCACCCAACTCACAGTCTGGCTGCCGTTACAGAGAATCCCGTCTCGTTTATTCTTACAGAGCGGAAGCGAAGTAGGAAGGTGGGGTTCTGCGGCGCATCGTCGTGGGGTCCACATCAGCAAACCTCCCAACTTCACCCTCAGCGCCAAGCATCCTGCCCTCCTGCAGCGCAGGAAGAAGGAGAAGAGGGAAGAGAGCACATCCGGCTGCCCCTGTCCTCTTGGACTGGGAAAGCAGTGCTTCCCCAAAAGCCGCCCTTCCCCAGCAAAGCTGTACTTATGACTCGTGGCCATTATCGAGTCACGTGGCTGGCACAAAGCATAGGGAAAACTGGCGAGGCAAATAACTCTGCTTACGGAGCGGAGCGTTCCTAGGAAAGACAGGCAAGGAGCAAGAGGGTGGGAATGAATGCGGAGCAAGCTCCAGTGGTGGTGGGTGGGTGCCCAGGATCACAGGGCTTTTCTCTCTGGCTGGTCATTTTCTCAATGTGGTCCTTTACCAGCGTTCTGGCACCTAGCAAGGGTAGGGAAGCAGGGGGCTCACTAGATCCCCTTAAGGCCCCTCACTCCTGCCAGCTGCCCCCTCCCAGAGCTGGAGGGAGCATCTCTGAGTCTACAGGTCTTGGTGTGAGCTTTTCACCGGCACTCCTGCTTTGGGCCCCGACCTGCACCGCTGCTTTCTAAGACAGCTAGTCCTGAGTGTTGATGGTTCTGAACGAGGATTCAGCTTGCTTCTTCACCTGCCTCCACCTCAGCCATGAGCAGAATGAAGAAGATATAAACACAAGCCAGTTACACCTCTTACACGCCAGCTTCAGGCCTACCTGCCATCCATCCAGAGAAATGGATAAATTTCGGTGGGCACATCCACAGAGCACCTTACAGCTGTCAGAAGCCAAGAACTAGCTGCCTACACTACCACATGGACAGCGCTCAAAAGCAGAGTGTTGAGAGGGAAAGATAAGAAACAGAATGAAAGTTAGAACAATACCCATTTCCATAAATGAAAAGCACATACGCACAAGTGGCCAATAAACCATGACAGAGCGCTCAATTTCATTAGTCATCAGGGAAATGCCAATTAAAGGCACAATGTGAAACCTCGGCACACCTACTCAAGTAGCTAAAATGAACAAGATAAAAATACCCAGTGCTGGAGGACGCAGATGAACCAGAATTCTCACGCGGTCACTGCTGATGGAGTGTGTGTTGGTAGAACCACTTTGGAAAACTGTTAGGCCGTGCCTACTAAAAGCAAACACGCTCTCGCCCTGGCTGGTGTGGCTCAGTGGGTTGCAGCATGTGCCTGTGGACCGAAAGGTCCAGATTCCTGGTCAGGGCATGTACCCAGGTTGCAGGTTTGATTCCTGGTTGGGGCACGTATAAAAAGGCAGCCAATCAATGTTTCTCTCTCACATCGATGTTTCTCCCTCTTCTCTCACCCAGCCTTCCTCTCTCTCTAAAAGCAATGAAAAAAAATGTCCTCTGGTGAGGATTTTTTAAAAAGCAAACACACTCTCTCCCATGACCCAGCAATTCCACTCCCAGGTCATGTGTCTGGCAGGAGTGCATGTACACATTCACCAAAATTCCTGTGCTAGAATGTTCACACCGGTGCTACTCATATAACCCCAAACTAAAACTACCAAACACCCATGGACAGTAGAATAGGTGAATGAAGGAGGGTATATTCACCCAACAAAATTCTAGAAAGCAATGAGAACAAAAGAACGAAAACCACAAGCAATATGGATGCATCTCCCGAACCTAAAGCTGGTGGAAAGATGCAAGAGTTCATACTATAGGGTTTCATTTAAATAAATAACAAAACTAGGCAAAACTATCACAGGGAATCCAATGCAACGGTAGTAGTTAGCCCTGGAAGTGGTGGTGACAGGAAGAGGGCATGGAGGGGAGTTCTGGGGTGCTGGTGCCATTTGGTTTCTCGGCCTGTGTCCTGGGTATTGGGACATGTTCACCTAGTGACAACCCATGAGTGGGACACTGGGCATCTGGGCATTTCTCCATATGTAGGTTATAGTGCATTCGAAGTAAAGCAAAAGGAAAGGCCTGGGGCAGCACAAACAGGAAACACGTATGTGCAAGCAATTGTGCACACTTTACAAGGATGTGCACATATTTAAAGGCCTGCTTCACCTGTTACAGAGGGTGCCTGCATTGGTGGGGAGCGCGGGGGGTGCGGGGGGTGGACACAGCAGTGAGGTTGTGGTGGCAGGGGAAGAAAGAAAAAGAAGACCAGAGAGGAGTCTCGTATGGGTGCACAATGATGCCAGGCCTGGCCTGACTCTGCAGCTGAGGGCAGGAAGGGTGGAATCAGGAAACACTGGTTGGAAAAACCTTTGACTGTTCTCTAAACAGTCTGCTCCGTGCACATCCCTGCTTTCACTGAATGGGGTCTGGCAAAGAGAACGGAGTTGCCCGGATCTTGACCAGGGCTCCTTGCAGCAAGTGCCCTGTCTCAGGCCCATTGACCTTTCCTGCCTCCCCGAGGCCTCTCTCAGACCACAGATACGCTGGCTGAATCTCCCCGGGATCAGAACTCTGGTTCCTCCTCCATCTGGGTGCATGCAGACTCCCGGGGCTTAGCCCCCCTCTCCTGCTGGCAACATCCCAGTGCTCAGCACTGCAGAGGACTGTGACAAGCGCACCCTTGCTAGCTGTAGATGAAGCTCGGGGCTCTCTAATGCTGACCCCCTTACTCCCAGCAGACTCCATTGTAGCTCAGTCTCCTACTCGGACCAATGTCCTCCATTTGCAAGCTTGAATCTTCATTCTGGAGCCCAGATCCCGGTAGTAGAAGACCTCAGGGAGGACCTGAGTTTTACTCCCCTCTCCTCCCACCTAGGAGGTGTGAACTCAGGAAAGGCGCTCCCGCCCGCGGGTGGAAAATTTCACATTGCCTGCACTTCCCACTTTGGCCGCTAGTGGGAGATGGTGGACAACCTGAGGCCCGCCATGGGGCTAGAAACGGGCGGCCGGCAGGTGGTTCATCCCTCCAGCCCCCAGCTACCCAACCAGACGCGGGGCCAGAAAGGGTCCTGCGTCCTGAACTTCTCTGTAGGCTGATTTTCTTCCTCATTCAGGCCTCTCCCACAAGCACAGAGAGCTCCTCAGTGTACGTGCAGGGCACTCAGTGACCCCTGGAGCTCCACACACCAAGGTCCCAAAGGGAGGGTGGTCCCCTGGTGACCTCTCCAAGATGCCAATAATGGAGGGCAGGCCACAGCCTCTGAGCTCCCAAATACAGCACCGCGGTGCCCTCTGAGAACTCAATGCCCTTTTGCCCTCCAAGAACAACCCTTACTTCCAGGAACCTTGGAGATGTGTTAGGAGAAAGTAAAACGCTGCTGGGAAAGGGAGTCTCGTGTGCGTGCACATGTGTGTGCATGGGTGTGCTCCTGTGATGCTCTGGGCCACGGACCCCGTGCAGGGTGACGCCTGCCACCCCTTCCAATGATGTTACTGCTCTGTGGGCAAGAGATGCTCGTGGCCTGTTTCGTTTACACAAGGAGCTGTGTTGCCGGGTCTGTGTCGCTGCCGGTCAGCCTGGGTGTGTGAGCGACTGTGTTGGTCAGCGTCTGGGTCCCGTGTCCCTGTGTGAGAGATGCCGTCCGTCTGTCTCAGTGTCAGCCACGTGTCTCCACGTGTCAACGTGTGGGTTGCATGTGGTGAGTGTGAGTGTGTGTTTCAGTGCGGGTGTCCGTGTTTGCTGGCTGTGTGGTTCTTCCGGTCAGGGAGTGGGTTTCCATCAGCACGCGGTGTCCGTGTGTGTCCAGGGCAGTATAGGCGTCCACCATCGTGCAGACTTGCGTCCCGCCTGTGCGTGTGTCTCTAGGAGCATCACAGACGCACGCTCTATGAGAGTGTCTATGTGAGTGTGCGTGTCTGTGTGTTCTATGTGAGTGTGCGTGTCTGTGTCAGTGTGTCAGTGGATGTGTGTCTCTGAGTCATGCGGGTGTCACTGAGTTTGTGAGAGTGTCTGCCTCGGTGACAGTGTGTGTCAGTGATGTGTCTGCCTGTGTGTCCCTGTGGGTGTTTGTGTGTTAATGTGTGTCTGTGTCCGTGTGCGGGTGTGCCATGTCGGGTATGTTTGTCTCGGCACCGTGGTCTGTGCGTGTCAGGGTGCTAGTGCGTGTCCGTGTCCACGGGGGAGGGTATCTGGTGTGGGGTCCCCAAGCCAGTGAGGATATGTGTGTGTACTCTGGCCAATGTTTGTCGGCGTCCGCGTGGGTGGCTCTCTGTGTCGAAGCATCCCCAAGTCGGTGTGGCTGTATACCACCGTGTGCCGGTGTCCGCGGGTGTCTGTCCGTGTCGCGTGGGCGGCTGTTTGTGGCGGGGCGCCCCCAGGTCAGTGTGGGGGTGTACGCCCCGGCGGGAGCCGAGGTGTTCTCCCTCTGAGCGGGCGGAGCGCCACGTGCGGAGCCCCGGGCGCGTCGCTCTGGGGCGGAGCCAGCCCGGGGCCCCAAGCCCCAGGCCGAGCCCAGGCGGGGCCCGCCCCCGACCCCGCCCCCAGTCCGAGCCCGCGCCGCCCGCGGAGTCCCGGAGCCCGAGACTAGCGGCGGAGCCGAGACGGCCGTGGCGCCCGTGGGATGCAGGGATCGCGACCCCGGGGCCGCTGAGCCTGCGCCCAGTGCCTCGAGCCTCGCGCCGAGCAGAGTCCGCGCCGAGCAGCAGCCACCCATCCCGGGGCCCCGCCTGGGGCTCCAGCAGGTGAGCGAGCGTCCCTGAGCCCGGCAGCCCGGCCCGGCCCGAGCACCCTCCGCCGCCGCCGCCCAACTTTCCTCCCCGAGGGTCGGAGCTTCCAGCCCCTCCGCTCTCCCTTCCCTGACCCGGGTCCGCCCGGCAGCTCCCTCCCCCATCACTGCCCCTAAGGGTGGGCAGGGGAGAAGGAGGGGCGAAGCTCATTGGGGCTGGAGGGGATCCCCGGGGGAGGGCATCTCTAATAGCCACGCGCCCCCTCCCCTTCCCTTTCCTTCCGGGTTTCCCAGTGCGCTGTCGAGGGCCGGGGGAGGGGGAGCCGCGGCCCCGGCTTCCCCGCCGACCCCGGCGCAGCCTCGGGGAAGGTCTGGGATTGGGACCCGGATTCCCGAGGCCGGAGACCCCAAGGTCAGAGCGGCGACTAGGCGCGCAATGAGTGTGGTTCCAGAGAGCGGGGGAGCTGACCGAGCGGGGCTGGGAATGGGGGAGGGGGCCAAACACCCCCTTTCCCTGGGCCGTGCGGAGCCGTCTGCCCGGGGAGCCCTCTCTGGAACGAGATCTCTGCCCGTCCTGACCAGGGACAGGTCTCTGTGCGTCCTGAGTGGGGAGAGAGATCTGTGTGTGTGTGTGTGTTCTATCTCCGCACGCTCCCACCACTAAGAGATCTCTGCGCCCTCTGACGCCCTAATGGGGCGGCATACGGTCTCCGTGCGCCCTGAAGGCGGAGAGATCTGCGTGTGCTCTCACCAGGGGAGATCTCTGTGCGCTGGGACTGGGGCGCAGCTCTCTGCCCTCCCGGCTCTGACCCGGGCGATCCACGTGCCCTGACGGGAGGCGGCTCTTGTCCTCTGTGTTTATTTGATCGTCTTTGGTGGCGCCTTAGGAGGAAATGGAGGTGCCTTGCCTTGTGGGAGCTGGAGGTACGGAGTGGTGGTGGTGGGGGAGTGCTGGGGACGAGGCCCTGGCCCTAGGCCCGCCTGCGTTGGAACACCTGTTTGAGGGCCGCGCAGAGCCCGGTCAGGAAGCCATAGCCGAGGTTGCGGCAGGAGCCGATCTTCTCTCCTTAGTGCCTTGAGACCAGCCTGGGGTGGTGGGATCAACCCTCTCCTCTTGGGGTCCTGGGCTGGCATTCCCTTCCCCCAGCTGTCTCCGTGCTTCCTGCTGAGACCCTCCAGCCGGGACAGCACCACAAAGACGGGCGCGTTGTATGACCCTACCATGCCACAGCGCCTCAGCCCTCTCCAGGATTCCCACCATCCCATTTACCATCCAGAGGGACCTTGAGAAGCGAGGCTGGAACCACCGTGTCCCAGGCCCTTGCTGCTGCCTTCAATGCCATCCCCTTGTCCTCACCTCCTTCCGGTTAGAAGTGGGTGGGTGCGCAGGGGTGGAACTGGAAGGTGGAATGAGGGTGGCACGGGCCAACAGCTCAAGTGAAGCTGCAGTCACAGGAGCGCGGGGAGCCGAGGGCCAGAGTGTGGAACACGGATTTCATGCTAGGATTTCCAGCTCCGTGCTGAAACAAGCTTCACTGAATGTTTAATCTTACTCTGTCATGGCCACTACATTGTACAGGGGAACTTGAGGCTGGGGGCTTGTCAAAGACTTACACAAGGTCACCTAAGAGTCAGTGGATCCGGGGCACCACTTAGGGTGAAGATTCCTTGAGATCTGCGTCCCAGGGCTAAGCTGACCTAGGACTGACCGAGGAGGACCTGAGCAGAAGGGGAGCCGGCCCCAGCTGTGGCGTGGGCAGCTGCTGCGCCTCTCGGGGGCTTGGCCTGGTCTCTGGGTGGTGATCGCAAGTCCCCTGGAAAAATGACGGCATCGACTGTCTTAGCATGAAGCTCGAGCTCAGAGGAGTGGTCAGAAGCACCAGAGACAGCTGGGAGTAAGGGAGTGGGAGAGACCGGTGTCCCAGGCAATCCAAGGAGGAGGGAGTCCTGGGGGCAGCCTGGGACGGGGTCAGCGGCACTCTGTTCTGTTGTTTTGTTCACAGGAGGCTAATTCCTGCTGACCTTTGGGAAGGTCACTGTGAAAGTGTGCCGTGATTAAAGCGTGTCCCCTTGGCCCATTCAAAAGAGGAGTGGTTACTTTTGGCCTAGAGAGTCAAGGGCATCTATCTAACAAATACAACCTTTCATCTAGGTTTTGAAGGATGAATAGGAGTTTTCCAGGAGAAGAAGGGACAGTCTAGTCATCAGGCCTAGCATGTGCCAGCAGTATCCAGAGATGTGAAACAGCACAATTGTTACTTCCATGACTCGTTAGGTCCCATGGTGTGAGTTGGGGGAAGGGAGGAGGAGAACAGCAGCTACAGCCAAGATCACACTCCCAGGGGCGTTGGTGAGCTCTGCTCAGGAATTGGGAATTTATCCTCAGTAATGGTACTAAAAATAGCTAACTTTCACTGAGCGCTGCCTGCCAGCCAGGCGGAGCACTAAGCACTTTGTAAGGCTCCTCTCACTGAATCTTTGCATCAACCCTGGAGGTAGGGACCATAATAATGACCACTTTGCAGGTTGATGAAACCGAAAGCCCAGAAAGCTTAAGTAACTTGCTCACCGTCAAACCTCGCTAAGGAGCAGGACTTGAGTTGGAGCCCAGGTGTCGATATGTCTGCTGTGTGCTCTGCCCCCTCCCCAGTGCAGACCAGAGGTGCCGTCAAAAGTCTTACAGTGGCAGGAGAGGGACAGGCAGGTTACGCCAAGTAAGTGGTGTTTCAGCTGCCTTCTCTGCTAAGGGACATGCCCCTCTCCTGTCCCTGACTTAAGATGCTCATTAAGTGAGGTTCTTTGCCACCCTGCCACACTGGGACAGGGACAATGGGCAGGTGAGGTCTGGGTTGGCAACCTTGATGAAGAACGACGGGGAAGGGTTCTGATTTGACTCCGGAGCGCTTCCAGGGAGGGGTGCCAACGTCCAGCGTCAGCTGGAGGGGAGGGCCCACCCTTCAGGAAGGAGACCTGAGCAGGGGGTGGGAACTTGGGATCATCCGCAGACACCGGTCATTGGAACCACGGTACTGAGTGAGGTTGTCCAGCAAGAGTGCTGGTCAGTGGCTCTCAATCCTGGTGACATTAGCATCACTTGGAAAGCTTTAAAAAAACAAAACAAAACAAAACAAAACAAACCTATGCCTAGGCTTCACCCCAGAGATTCTAATTCATTTGATTCAGGCGAGGCTTGGGCAGCAGCAGTTTTGAAAGCACCTAGGTGACCCCAGTGGCAGGAGGAGTCCGCCAGGAGGCTGGGCAGGAGCGGTCAGCGAGGTGGGAAGAGAGCCAGAGTGGAGGTGTCATGGAGGCAAGGAGGGTGCCTGTCCCAGAGGAGAGGAGTCCCCTGTCTCTTTCTGCTGAGTTAAAAAGGTACATTCTGAGAAGTTCATGGATAAATTCTTAAAGAAAAGGAACGTTTAATTTTAAAAAAAGAATCGTCCATTAGACTGAGCAACAGTGAAGGTCCTGGTGATTTTGACGACAGAAATTTCCCTCTTACCACTGACAGAATGTGGTGCCCAGCACACACCGATTGTGGGATGCATGCATGCATGCATGCATGAATGAATGAGTGAATGAATGAATGAATTGGTGAGAGTGGAAGTCTGTTTTGGAGAGGGTTGAAGAGTGAGCGGGAGGTGAGGACGTGGAGAGAGCATGTGTAGACAGCTCTTTCAAGGAGTTTGATGGTTTAAGAGGGAGGAGAGAGATAGAGAGGAGCTGGCAGGGGTGGGGTCCAGGGAGGGTTGTAGGAAGGGCCTGGAGTGGACCCTGAGGACATTGGTGTCCACGCAGGACATCCGTGTGCAGTGCTGATGGGGCACGTGCCCATTCCTCACGGCAAGGGACCGGAGGTCTGTGAGTTAAAACTGTGCCCGTGGGGGCCAGTGGGCCGGTCAGGAGGCCTGGGGTGAAACGGCTCTTCCGGTTGAATCTCTGAGCGGCAGGTTTTGGTGGCAGGAACCGTGGTTCCTGCTGGAGGTGGGGTCAGCAAGGGGAGGGAGATCTCGCTCTGCGGAGAGAAAAGTGTTCCAGAAAGGGATGTCTGGGGACGAGACGAGATCGCCTGGAGCAGGCGTCCAGGAGCAGAGGGGCCACGGTGGAAGTCCTGTGGCTCCACGCACAGCGGCAGAGACAGGAGGGGGCGGAGCCAGGGGCAGCCTGTGCACGCGGCAGGGAGCGCAGCGGTGGCTGGGGCTTTGGGGTGAGCCTAGGACTGGGTGCCCCCTCCTCCTGCCAGCCCAGACCACCCTGAGTCAGAGAGGTCTGAGGCAGAGTTCCGCATGGGATAGCAGGGGAGAGCCTGGGTAGGGCATTCCACACCTACTCTGGGCCCTGGAAGATTCTGGAAGGTGTACAATTCAGATACAATAACTGTCCTCCTGAATCTACATGCTGTTGGGGAAAGACCGGCTGGCTGCTGCTAAACACATAGATAGAGAACATAATTTTAGGTAGCGACCAGTGTGATGAAGGAAATCAAGCAGGATGACGTGAGGGAGAGATGGGACTCACTTGAGACCTTCCTGAAGGAGGAGACGGAACTGCAACCCAAGTAGCAAGAGAGAATCGATTCTGAGGAGGCCCCAGGAAAGGATGTCTTGAAAAGAGGGAGCTGCACGTGCAAAGGCCCTGGGGCAGGGACGAGCTCCCGAGGTGGGGTTGGCGGCCGCGGCCGGAACAGAGGAGGTGGGGTAGGGCTGGGGAGGTCCCTCGCCTCCCTTTCCACCCCCACCCTCTTGGTCATCTGCCCCTTCAGACCGTCCCTTCGGCCATGCACACCACTCAACGCAGGCTGGCAGCGATTCCTGGGGATGAGACTATATTTAGATACAACTCTCCTCTCTGTGGGCCTAGAACATACCGTGTCTTTTTAAGATGATCAATATGGAATGGGTGCTATTTATAGAGACCCCACGTCAATTTCTGGGGCCTGAGACCCTCCGATGGGGGGAGGGAGTCCAGGGCCAGGCTCTGCCGGGGTAGGCACGGAGACCGGCATTACATGGGAGC